AAGCTGCCACCCAGAAGAGGCGCAGATCACGAGATAAAAACGGAAGAAGGAGCTAAACCGCCATCTCGTGCAGCATATCGTTTACCAAAACCAGAGATGGATGAGCTTCAAGCTCAGCTCACCGAGCTGCTCCGTAGAGGATTCATCCAGCCCAGCAAATCCCCATACGGAGCCCCTGTGTTCTTCGTTAAGAAAGCGGATGGAACACTTCGAATGGTATGCGACTGGCGTGAGCTAAACCGCATAACCATTAAGAACAAGGCATGCCTACCGAATATTGACGACCTCTTTGATACCGTCCAAGGCAGTGCGTATTTCACCAAGCTAGATCTGAGGTCCGGTTACAATCAGATTCGAATAGAAGAAACAGATATTCCGAAGACGGCAATAAATACCCCATTCGGTCACTTTCAGTTCACAGTGATGGGTTTCGGCCTAACAAATGCCCCGGCAACATTCCAAACCTTGATGAACAGTGTCCTCCAGCCATACCTGCGTAAATTCGTTGTGGTGTTTCTAGACGATATCCTCATATTCAGCAAATCATGGGAGGAGCACCTCGATCATGTCAGAACCATCTTAAACGCCCTCAGGAGGAATGAGCTATATTGCAAACCGTCTAAATGTGAATTCGGCCGGACAGACGTTCTGTTTCTTGGGCACCGGATAGACGGCCAATGCATTTCTCCAGATCCAGAGAAGATCAAGGCCGTGCATAACTGGCCTGTCCCGACGACGGTCACGCACGTAAGACAGTTTCTGGGATTCGCTAATTACTTTCGAAGGTTCATTAACCATTTCTCGGCCATCTCCAAACCCCTGGAGGAACTGACAGGGAAACATGTGCGCTTCGAGTGGAATCAGACTCGACAGGAGGCATTTGAGCGATTGAAGTCTGCTCTGCTGGATGCACCAGTGTTGCGACTAGCAAACGTCAGTCAGGATTTCCGCGTTGAGACTGACGCAAGTGACTTTGCTGTGGCAGGAGTCTTAACGCAGCAAGCAGAGGACCAGTCCTGGCATCCTGTGGCTTACGTGAGCCGAAAGCTGTCTTCTGCCGAACGGAATTACACGGCCGCCGAGCGAGAAACTTTGGCTCTAGTGTACGCCCTGCAGTGCTGGCGAGTCTACCTATTTCGCCACTTTCAACTCTACACCGACAACATGGGAGTTGTCTACCTCAGGACCAAACCAAACTTAACCAAGAGAGAGGCTCGATGGATTGAATTCCTGGCCGACTATGACTACACGGTACATCACAAGCCAGGAAAGTGTAACATAGCAGACCCGTTGTCACGTCGACCAGACTTGGAACTGAATGGAATCGAGTTCTCTCTGGATGTGAATCAAGGAATTGCGAATCAGATCTCAGCAGGGTATGATAGTGACCCAGAGCTTTCGCCAGTAATCAAGCGCTTGATGGCTTGCAGCGAAGACGCCATGCATGAGCGATACGTCTGGAACAGTGTGGACCGGAGGCTGTACCTAGTAACATCGGGCGATGCTCGCCTCTGCATTCCTCGCGGTCCGGTACGGCTGCAACTGCTCAAACAGAATCATGATTGCCTGACGGCCGGCCATCCGGGGAGAGACAGGACCTACCTGAAGCTGAGCAGATACTTCTATTGGCCAGGCATGAGAAGTACTGTGAAGGACTTCGTTAAATCTTGCGACCGGTGCCAACGCGTAAAGGGTAGCCAGACCAAGGCAGGACTGTTGCAGTCCCTTCCAGTCCCCGAACAGCCCTGGACAGACATCAGCATGGATTTCATCATGGCACTGCCGCTGACCTGCCGAGGACATAGCGCCATTCTAACCTTTGTGGACCGTCTGACGAAGTATGTGCACCTGATCCCGACGACTGTTCATGTTGACTCTAAGGAGGCAGCCCGATTGTACGTGGATCATGTGTTTGCTGCCCATGGCTTGAGCAAAACGATAGTTTGTGATCGAGATCCGCGATTCACGTCGGCGTTCTTCAAGGAGGTTTTCAGTATTCTTGGCGTGGAGCTAAAAATGAGCACGGCCAACCACCCGCAGACCGATGGCATGACTGAGCGTGTGAACCGTGTCATTGAGGATACGCTAAGAGCTTTCGTCAACCATAGGCAAAACAATTGGGATGAACTCCTATCGCTATGTGAGTTTGCGATCAACAATGCCGATCAAGCGTCAACAGGTAACACGCCATTTTTCCTCAACCATGGATGCCATCCAGTTACTCCCTCGAGCTTATTGACGAAGCAGAAAGCTGGAGCTGGCATGGACACGAATGGTCCGCTGTCATGGCTGGATGGCCGCGTAGAGGCACTACGTGAGGCACAGGATGCCATCGTGGCGGCGCAGGCCCGGCAATCATTGTATGCGGATCGAGGACGGGTGGAGGACGCCCTGAAGGAGGGGGATGAGGTGTTGGTCTTCAGGGACTTCCTGCTGACGCCCGAGGAACGAGACAGGCCTTCACACAAATTAAGGCTCAAGTGGTATGGGCCGTTCAAGGTGCAGAAGAAAGTGGCCCCGAATGCGTACAGATTAGCTCTTCCAAGAATCATTCGGGCCCATCCAGTGTTCAATATTGCTGCCCTCAAGCTGTACCATGGCAATGAGATACCGGGCCGTACTCAGCCGGCACCTCCACCCCTAACCGATGCGGATGGCCATACGCGGTACATTGTCGAAAAGGTGTTGTCGCACAAGAAGAGAGGACGGCGCACGCAGTACCTAGTGAAATGGAAGGGCTACCGAGATGCCACCTGGGAGCCGGAGGAATACTTGATGGATGAAGCAGGAAACGCTATTATTCCGCTGAAAACCTACCTGGACCGTTTTTCATAAATTGCTATTTAATTGGCAGCCACAGTTGTATTGCTAGTTCCTACGTGTTGCAATAGAAATGTAGCATTCTGCATGATTAGGATAGTGCTTCCCTGCCAGCCAGGCGTTATTTGCAGAGGACATGCACTGGATCTTGAGTTCATCAGTGTTGTTTTCGGCTACCATACATTCCACATATCCATGCATGATCATTAGTTACCATAACTGTTCCTTCGAATTGGTACTGTTCTGACAGTTGAGAGGGGGGAATGGTGTAACAGATTCACTGTTACTACTAACACTAGGAATAGGATACACGTATCACCTGCTATTATCACGCTGCTGCTGTTAGGTGTTATGTCCATCATTGCTTGTTCATGTATATAAGAATGCATTATGGCAAGGATCATTGCTTATTCCAAGAATGACTACTGAAGTTAGTTGGACTGTTACAGAAACTGGGTGACTGCGCCCTACGAGATGGGGATTTGTATGCAAAATGTCACTAAAAGCGCCATTTCGTTCTTATAAAAGCACGGATGACCGCGATTGGCCCATATGTTGTAGTCTTTTGGACGCTGAGTCGACTGATTTTGGTCCGAAAAGGCTGCGATGCAGCGTTCCTCCTTTATTCCCAATCGAACATGGTTGAACAAGCGGTCACGTGCTCCTGGGTGCCCTAATCACCTGGTCACCACGCCAGCAGGCGACAACTTTCACACCAAGGTTCAACTCGAGTGACAGGACTGCACCCAAAAAAGGTCAAACAGGCTAGTAAGTTGTACCCTGCAGGCACGGTGACCAGGTGACTGGCGTACGCAGGAGCACGTGACCGCTTGTTCAACCATGTTCGATTGGGAATAAAGGAGGAACGCTGCATCGCAGCCTTTTCGGACCAAAATCAGTCGACTCAGCGTCCAAAAGACTACAACATATGGGCCAATCGCGGTCATCCGTGCTTTTATAAGAACGAAATGGCGCTTTTAGTGACATTTTGCATACAAATCCCCATCTGGTAGGGCGCAGTCACCCAGTTTCGGTGGAAGTGCGCGAGTTCGATTGGGATTCAAGTAGGAAGGGAGCGTCTCAGCTTCCTGGGACCACGACCATTCGACTCAGCACTCCGAAGACTACAACTGGTGAAATTTTAATTTTTGCCTTAACTTCCCCTTTAGAGGGGAAGTTAAGGCAAAAATTAAAATAGAGGGGAAGTTAAGGCAAAAATTAAAATTTCACCAGTTGTAGTCTTCGGGGTGCTGAGTCGAATGGTCTTGGTCCGAGGAAGCTGAGACGCTCCCTTCCTACTTGAATCCCAATCGAACTCGCGCACTTCCACCGAAACTGGGTGACTGCGCCCTACGAGATGGGGATTTGTATGCAAAATGTCACTAAAAGCGCCATTTCGTTCTTATAAAAGCACGGATGACCGCGATTGGCCCATATGTTGTAGTCCTTTGGACGCTGAGTCGACTGGTTTTGGTCCGAAAAGGCTGCGATGTAGCGTTCCTCCTTTATTCCCAATCGAACATGGTTGAACAAGTGGTCACGTGCTCCTGCGTACACCAGTCACCTGGTCACCGTGCCTGCAGGGTACAACTTACTAGCCTGTTTGACCTTTTTTGGGTGCACTCCTGTCACTCGAGTTGAACCTTGGTGTGAAATGTGTCGCCTGCTGGCGTGGTGACCAGGTGATTTGGGCACCCAGGAGCACGTGACCACTTGTTCAACCATGTTCGATTGGGAATAAAGGAGGAACGCTGCATCGCAGCCTTTTCGGACCAAAACCAGTCGACTCAGCGTCCAAAAGACTACAACATATGGGCCAATCGCGGTCATCCGTGCTTTTATAAGAACGAAATGGCGCTTTTAGTGACATTTTGCATACAAATCCCCATCTCGTAGGGCGCAGTCACCCAGTTTCGGTGGAAGTGCGCGAGTTCGATTGGGATTCAAGTAGGAAGGGAGCGTCTCAGCTTTCTCGGACCAAGACCATTCGACTCAGCACCCCGAAAACTACAACTGGTGAAATTTTGATTTTTGCCTTAACTTCCCCTTTAACTTAACTTAGTTCGCTGGCAAAAAAATTGACCGATGAAATCATTTGAACGATTTCCATGGTATTTTTTTAATAATAATTAATATGTGTTCGTTAGGATTTTATTCACTGTGTGCATCCACTCAATCTCCGTTCAACCATTGCATTCAGTGCTCATTATTCTAATCTCTCCTTCTTCGAATGTTTGCAATGATTATGTCTCACAGTGTTAGGGCAGTACTGGCGCATGGCATGATGATGTCGCCACTGAATTTTGTGACCGTGTGCTACGTGTTGGAAACTGAGGCTTTGTCAGTTTGTGACGAGCGAACAGCTTTTTGCTTACAAATACAAGTTCAAGCGACCGCTAACAGCTGTGAACACTAATCTTGTCAGGAGCACGGCACATCTTCCAGATAATAGTATCAGCGTTGTTATGGCCATGGCCTAACTCTCTTCACCTAGAGCTGTGGAATTCTACTCCCTCCATGGTCCCCCACACGACGTCTATTGGTTAGTTTTGAATGTAGCTTTGGTCGGACATGCGAGTAAGTGTAACAGCAAGAGTGAGAGAACACTGTGGTTGCTATAAACTGCACGGAACTTCTACAAGAACAATGTCATGGGTCCATGGAACAGAGCTGAACATTGTCATGGGTCCATGGAGCAGAGCTGAACAATGTCATGGGTCCATGGAGCAGAGCTGAGCAATGTCATGGGTCCATGGAGCAGAGCTGAATTAACAATGTCATGGGTCCATGGAGCAGAGCTGAACAATGTCATGGGTCCATGGAGCAGAGCTGAACAATGTCATGGGTCCATGGAGCAGAGCTGAACAATGCCATGGGTCCACGGCGCAGAGCTGAACAATGTCATGGGTCCCTGGACCAGAGCTGAACGCTGCTTGGTGACAACTGCCTCGTAGCCAGCAATTTTGGAACAACAATTTCAGCCAATGGCTGCACACAATGACAATTGGATGTACATGTGTATGTTTGTGCATGGAATGGCTGCTGTTTGTCCATGGAATGGCTGACGTTTGGCCAGGGAATGGCTGCTGCTTGGACATGGAATGCCTGACGCGTGGCCACGGAATGGCTGACGTTTGGCCACGGAATCAATGCCTGCTGTTTTGCCACGGAATGGTTGCACGGTTTCGGCACGCTTGGCACGTAAATACCTGCAAACATGTACAAGTGTCTCTGCAAGGAAACGGATGGAGTTCATGTCCACGGGTCACTTTGCTAGTGGCTGAAAGGAGGTCAGTACCGTATTTTCCGAGTATTTTCCAGGGTGCTAGCCGCATTGGGGTCTAAGCCGCACTTTCCTTTTCAGGCCCAAAATTCGTATATTTTTGGACACTCGTAGTATAAGACGCACGTCAGATTTTGAATTTTTGGCCATCCAAACTTAACCCTTTCCGGGTTTATGACGAGTATACTCGTCATGCAGACCCCATCGCGTCTGGGCAATGACGAGTATACTCACGCTATACTTTTTGTACAGTCCAAGTACCGTACGCACTGATAGATCACTGTACAAACAGCGATAACTCTGGAACGGATTATCGCATCGCAAAGATCTATAGCTCATTGGAACGGTCTTGGAAAGGGATTTCCAGAGGTGTTTCGGTGTGGCGATAGCTCAACAAATGATCGAGCGGCAATAAATTGAACGCGCGATTTCGATCTGAACATTTTTCTTACTTTCTGTCTGGCGATATTTTTGCGACTTTCAAGTCATTCAAGGGGATTTTCCAATGTTGTGTGAAAGGCAGCATGACGTATGAGTACATCGCTTGAATCTCACGAGCTCGATGCAGTTTGAATGGTAGTTCTACGTTGAGTAGGAGCCTCAAACCGAAGGAAATAGTTGAGCGTGGTCTTGATGCCAAACTGGTGCACGGTAGGGACACTGTTGGCGAGGCTAGGGGCGTCCTTGAGGTGCTGTATGCTCTGAAAGTACGTGGAAGTTGACGAGCTGGAAAGGAGCTTTCCAGTAAGCCATAAGTTTTGAAAATCCGTTGAGAAACAAAAATGTTGAGACAATTTGTTTGTTGCTATGTCCACAATTGTACTGATGCACTGAATTTCAGTGCCCAGACGTAGTAAATGCGCTGTGACCCTGAAAGGGTTAAGAAGCACTACTGAAGTTCCACCAAAGCTTCTTGATTTGTCCCTCGTGCTGAACTGACAGCATGGGGAGATTGTACAACTGCAATGATGGATTTCTGTGAATGAAAAACACATAAAAATTAGTTGAATGACACCATACATGCATATTGTTCATGGCACGCTGTTTCACTGGTTGATTCATAGCCAGCACTCGCAGTCTAAGTCGCAGGGGAGTTATTTTAGGCGTTAAAAAGTGCGGCTAACACACCCTGGAAAATACGGTAATTATGATGTGCAATTAGAGTCCATAAACAAGAGTATGCAACTGTGATCTCTTTTCTATAGGCCAGATGCGCGGCGCGCTGCCTTCATTACATCATTCAGCTGCAGTCCACGCGCACACCGCAAACACCGCACTTTCACTCTGATTTGAAATGGACTTTCTTACGGAACCGGAGTTCACGCGCCAACATTTAGAGATCGGGTAGGCACTGGAACGAATCGAGCAAAACGGATGGACTCGTACGAGAAATTGTGAGTTTGAATGCATGCTTTCAGAGCGTGATGAAGGCAAGTTACGTAATGAAGGCAGCGCGCCGCGCACTGATCCATAACCACAGTTGCATACTCTTGTTTATGCACTCTTGGCTACATGGTTCGCACCTAACTGCTGCCTTACTCCCAACCTTTGGGAGACATTGTGCTTTCTGGCAGATCCAGGACGCAGTGACCATTGTTCATTACTTGTATCTGCACATTTGCTTACACCAGGGAGTCGTAGCACAATACAGGGAGACAACACGGGAAAATGTAACCAGAAAATAATGATGTGGGTTTCACTCCCGAGTGACTTGCTCCAGTGTCCCTTGGGGTAGGGCCAATTTATACATTCTCACCTTATAAAACTGCTGGTCTGGGCCGGTTTCAGAGTCAGCTGTTTATTCCGCTATTGTGAGTTGCATGGACAACATACCATGTAGAAATGTTTAATCCTGTGTCGGAGCGGCCATTGTTCCGGGCACTATCTTGTGTCATCTCACTAGATGCTAAGACAACTTTCTAGTTTGCATATAGCAAGTGACCAGTGATGACTACGTGTACCAGAGGGAGCACGTAGCAGAGCCAGGAGTAGCATTATGTCTAAATTGAGTGAGATCAATGTTGTTACGTGCATTATGTCTAAATTGAGTGAGATCAATGTTGTTATGTCTAAATCGAGTGAGATCAATGTTGTTACGTGTCACTCCTGTAGTAACAATTGAATCATGTTGTGACAGGCGTTCCTGTGTGACAGGCGTTCCTGTGTGCTAGCAATTGTGTGCTAGCAATTGTGTGCTAGCAATTGTGTGGTAGCAATTTTTTTTCAATTTCACGGTTCGCGTGAGACTCGGTTTCTCTATATAGAGGCCGAGTTTTCCGCATCCATAGGAACGCCACCACCCTTCAAGGATCAAGGCGCAGATGCAGCTCCTAAAGCGGTGGGAGATGAGTAGATCAGCTCACCAGCATGTGGTCAAAGACCGAAAATCCCATTCACTGCATCGCAATTGTGTGGTAGCAATTATGTGGTAGCAATTGTGTGGTAGCAATTGTGTGGTAGCAATTGTGTGGTAGCAATTGTGTGGTAGCAATTGTGTGGTAGCAATTGTGTGGTAGCAATTGTGTGGTAGCGATCCCTGCCACCGTTGTTGTCACCATCATTTTCATCGTGGTATTTATTCCCTAGCGCTGCCAAATGCGTGTGACATTGCATAGTGCCAGGTACAAACGCCTGTAATGGGTGTGCTTGCTCCTGTGCTTGTTGACGACTATGATGTGACCCAGGGTAAGTGGGAGTGATGTATAAAGCAGTGCATGCAAGGCCACACCAAGTCATTTCTATGTTTTGCGTTACCGCCCGCGCATACCTTTTCGAATCCTTGACAAGAAAAAAAAGAACCGAGACAAGTCAATCGATGGCTGTTCTGGCGAACATTCTCTAGCCAGTATGGCAGATCAGAGGTTATCAGTTTCTCGATAATCTTGCACTCCAGGCGATGGTACGAAGAAGGTGCAAGCGATGACAATATCTATTTTTCCAAGCCGTACAGTAGGGCCTGCTCACCAAGCGAGCGGAGATTCCAGGTGTCAAGGACTTCGAGATTTTCCACGATCGTGATGGAGTCACGATTGTGATGGAGCGGAATTCCACTCGACTCATGTCAAGAGCCATCCATGACATTTGTTATTGTATCGCTCCAGCCCAGTCTGCCAGCTGTCCTGTGGCGACTTGTTGTCGTTTTGGATATTAGCAAGAGTACATGGTGTACTCTAGATATTAGTGACAGTTTGTGCAGCATGGCTCAGTACACATCGAATGGAGTTTTGTTTTTCTTCTGTTTTTGTTTTTTTTTCCACCCGCCTGCGTGCCTTTTCCAGAAAATGTCCAACGCAAAACATAGAATTAACTTGGTGTTGCCTAACTGAAGATCACGTCGTGACAGATGATGCCGGGCTTAATCCAGGATCCTGTTATGTGCTGTACATGTACCATCGCGGCCATACTATCTTGTAGAGATGCGTTGAGTCGTGTGAGCGCTCAGGGAGCAAAGTAAGTGAATGCTCTCCCATTCAGCACCACATTGTTTAGAAGTGCATTGCATATAAAAGCACACATGCAACTAACCAACTATGATGGTGGGACAACTGTGGCTGTACATCAAATATGGATGTGTGGCAACTGTGTGTTGACTGTGGCTGTGTGTCGACTGTTGTAGTTTGATAACTGTAGCCACAAGGCAACTATGGCCGTGTGTCAACTATAGGCGTTTGTGACAGCAGGGTTCTAGTCAAAGTGTGTGTGTGGGGGGGGGGGGGGGTAGGGGCACAGCCCCCTCGTACTCTTATGCCCCACCCTACGCATTTTTCAAATTTGTGTTTTTGTAGTTCACATAGCGAAACTGCGGGCACAAATCGATCGTTCCGAGTACTCTGTGCACCCGTCACGGCTGTCAAGAAGCGGCAACTTAGAAAGATGGCGTCGGTTCGAGATGGCATGGTAACCGCGCACGTGCCGTGGTCCGTGACTTGCTCATGTATGCACGCAAATGCAAGTCACAAACTCACAAAGATCGTCTTTGCATTTGGAGAGAATATCTTCGACTCTCTTTGGAGGTTGGCGAGGTTTGCCTAATCTTTACTTGATTGCGATGCCGGTATGTCCTCTCAATAATCAGAACAAAGAGAACTGATGATCGCTTCATTGCTGAGCAGAAGTAACAATCAACTCTCCTCATGTCCTCAGTGCCAAAGGCAGACGACTGCTCATTTCACGATGATGGAAACAATAATCGTGTACTAGTACACACTTGGACCATTTGGTCATCCCTGTTCTACCCGCTAGTCCGTCCAGCAATCAGATATTGGCTATTACGATAAGTACAACTGCGTGAACGAGGGCTCACCCAGCAAATTCAATTCAAGACGTGACTCCAGTCAAGAATTAGGGTCTTTACTCGAGAACTTCACAAATACAGGTCAAGGCACCCCACAAAACTGATAGATGGCACGAACGAAAGACAAATAGGCTAGACAAAGTGTCCCAAGTGATTGAAAACAGCAGATCTACCAAATAAGACAGCTACATGTGCCTAAACAACGATTCCCATACAGTAGAGAGTAGTATCAGGCAGAATGAAAGCCTTGGAAGTGCACAAATACAACCACGACCGCCACAAAAATTGGACGACCGCCACAAAAAAATTCTCATTGCTCTACCTCCTTGAAGGGTGAAAGTTACCAGTTATCCTATAGCGATGTCAGTTTATGCCTGTTGGAACCCCCCACAGCCCGCACGAAATACCTTTCAAATAATTCCAGGATGCAATTGCAGCTCCAGGCAGAAGGAAGAAGAACACCGTGAAAAATAACGGCAAAGATGCCCAAACTCTCGGGAAACGGCTGAAGTCTTCCTGAAGATGTTAACATTGAATAGCCATCGATTACCAGCGTGGTTTGGTGACTTTAGAACTGTTTTGAGACTTAGAACGAAGCGATATCTCAAATTTGATGGAATTGTTACCTGTCAAATGCATGGGCGAGCAGGCCAGCTGACTGGTTATGCATGAACATGCATGAGCATGCATTGATTTTTCATGGTTGACGTGCA